AACTGAACTGAAACTAGAACTGAACTAGAACTGAACTAGAACTGAACTAGAACTGAACTAGAAACTGAACTGAACTAGAACTGAACTAGAACTGAACTGAACTAGAACTGAACTAGAACTGAACTAGAACTGAACTAGAACTGAACTAAACTGAACTGAACTAGAACTGAACTAGAACTGAACTAGAACTGAACTAGAACTGAACTAGAACTACTGAACAAACTGAACTGAACTGAACTAGAAGAACTGAACGAACTAGAACTGACTGAACTAGAACTGAACTAGTACTGACTAGTACTGAACTAGAATTGAACTAGAACTGAACTGAACTAGAACTGAACTAGAACTGAACTAGAACTGAACTAGAACTGAACTAGAACTGAACTAGAACTGAACTAGAACTGAACTAGAACTGAACTAGAACTGAACTAGAACTGAACTAGAACTGAACTAGAACTGAACTAGAACTGAAACTAGAACTGAACTAGAACTGAACTAGAACTGAACTAGAACTGAACTAGAACTGAACTAGAACTGAGCTAGAACTGAACTAGAAACTGAACTAGAACTGAACTAGAACTGAACTAGAACTGAACTAGAACTGAACTAGAACTGAACTAGAACTGAACTAGAACTGAACTAGAACTGAACTAGAACTGAACTGAACTAGAACTGAACTAGAACTGAACTAGAACTGAACTCTGTTACCCAACTCCTAGGCGGGCCAACTTCCTATAAAAATTATCACAAGCTAACAAAGTTTGGTTGTTTATTTAAGCAACACCGAAAAAAGTAATAATCATTGAACTGGCATGTTTATTTGCAATTTGGTATGTGTCAGAAAAAAAAAATAAGTACATCACAGAACCAAAAATAAAAGAATAAAAAACAGTTAGAAGAAAAATCTTGTTTAGTGTCAGGTAAACATCAAACCAAATTACAAATATTTGCTTATTTCAATAGATTTTCCTTAGATATGTATTATGTATATTTGCCAATATTACGGAAGGTTTGTCTTACAATTGATTGCTTGAATGCAACAAGAAGAAACTTGAAATGCATTTTCTAAGACGTTTTTTGTGTGTGACGTTAAAAGAAATAAATGTGATGTAAATTTTCTCTGTTTAGAGTAGAAAAAGAAATAAATATTTGATTTTTATGGCAACATTATTTGTATTGAGGATTTTAAGTTAAAAAGTAAAATACTATGGAATGACATGTTTCAATAGTTCTGTGGAATGTGAACAAATCGTAAAAGGACTTTTTAAGGTGGTAAAAAAATATTAAAAAATTCAAGAACCTCACGGAGTCAAATTTTATTTAATAAAATCTTGAAAGTTTAAAAAAGATGTAAAATTTGCACTTCACTTGAAACACCCTTGCAAAATTATATATTAATTTTCATTTATGCCTCATTTTTTATTTGCAGCACAAAAACTACCCTCGTAGCAATATATTATGAAAATATGAACTAATTCGCAAAAATAGTTTTAAGATATTTGAATAAAATTAAAAAAATATGCAAATTTTATTTAACAAATTATTGATTTTTAACAACCCTTAAACAAATATCTATTTGTAAAAACGAATCAATGTTGTCTTATATTTACAGAAGTTATCATCAATGAGTATAAAGAATACAATCATTACAAGGTTAGTTTTCAATCAAAATGTTTTTTTTTAATATACAAAATTTTTACAAATATCTTTAAATATCTTTTGAAATCATAACAATACCTTGAAAAATAACATAAAAATTACATTTTCATTTATTGTACATTTATCTATTGAAAGAAATTTTCGTCTTGCTAAAGCTTTAATAAATGTATGTTAAAGCTATTGGGAATTTAAATGTAAAATTTATTGTGCCTAATTATCTAAGGAATATTCACGAGCAGGTTGTTGGTTATTTATTTATATTAGTCAGACGATAATAATGAGTTTTCGTATGACAACAAAACAAGATGACAATTCATCACTAAGACAGATTTGAATGGCGTAAACACAAGAATGGTCAAAAGAAAAAGTTACATGAATTTTAAATTTCATATTAAGATTTAAATTAAACAAAAACTTATATAAAAATAAATCGAAATGTCTAGGGAAATGAAAATTTACTAAAACGAAAATTTTTCCCAATTTTCTAAAATTTAAAATTTATTGAAAATTTTCTATAAATTCAATTCAAATGACACTAAATTGCAACATTTTGGGAAAAGTTTTCATAAGAACTAGAACTGAACTAGAACTGAACTAGAACTGAACTAGAACTGAACTAGAACTGAACTAGAACTGAACTAGAACTGAACTAGAACTGAACTAGAACTGAACTAGAACTGAACTAGAACTGAACTAGAACTGAACTAGAACTAGAACTGAACTAGAACTGAACTAGAACTGAACTAGACTGAACTAGAACTGAACTAGAACTGAACTAGAACTGAACTAGAACTGAACTAGAACTGAACTAGAACTGAACTAGAACTGAACTAGAACTGAACTAGAACTGAACTAGAACTGAACTAGAACTGAACTAGAACTGAACTAGAACTGAACTAGAACTGAACTAGAACTGAACTAGAACTGAACTAGAACTGAACTAGAACTGAACTAGAATTGAACTAGAACTGAACTAGAACTGAACTAGAACTGAACTAGAACTGAACTAGAACTGAACTAGAACTGAACTAGAACTGAACTAGAACTGAACTAGAAACTGAACTAGAACTGAACTAGAACTGAACTAGAACTGAACTAGAACTGAACTAGAATGAACTAGAACTGAACTAGAACTGAACTAGAACTGAACTAGAACTGAACTAGAACTGAACTAGAACTGAACAGAACTGAACTAGAACTGAACTAGAACTGAACTAGAACTGAACTAGAACTGAACTAGAAACTGAACTAGAACTGAACTAGAACTGAACTAGAACTGAACTAGAACTGAACTAGAACTGAACTAGAACTGAACTAGAACTGAACTAGAACTGAACTAGAACTGAACTAGAACTGAACTAGAACTGAACTAGAACTGAACTAGAACTGAACTAGAACTGAACTAGAACTGAACTAGAACTGAACTAGAACTGAACTAGAACTGAACTAGAACTGAACTAGAACTGAACTAGAACTGAACTAGAACTGAACTAGAACTGAACTAGAACTGAACTAGAACTGAACTAGAACTGAACTAGAACTGAACTAGAACTGAACTAGAACTGAACTAGAACTGAACTAGAACTGAACTAGAACTGAACTAGAACTGAACTAGAACTGAACTAGAACTGAACTAGAACTGAACTAGAACTGAACTAGAAACTGAACTAGAACTGAACTAGAACTGAACTAGAACTGAACTAGAACTGAACTAGAACTGAACTAGAACTGAACTAGAACTGAACTAGAACTGAACTAGAACTGAACTAGAACTGAACTAGAACTGAACTAGAACTGAACTAGAACTGAACTAGAACTGAACTAGAACTGAACTAGAACTGAACTAGAACTGAACTAGAACTGAACTAGAACTGAACTAGAACTGAACTAGAACTGAACTAGAACTGAACTAGAACTGAACTAGAACTGAACTAGAACTGAACTAGAACTGAACTAGAACTGAACTAGAACTGAACTAGAACTGAACTAGAACTGAACTAGAACTGAACTGAACTAGAACTGAACTAGAACTGAACTAGAACTGAACTAGAACTGAACTAGAACTGAACTAGAACTGAACTAGAACTGAACTAGAACTGAACTAGAACTGAACTAGAACTGAACTAGAACTGAACTAGAACTGAACTAGAACTGAACTAGAACTGAACTAGAACTGAACTAGAACTGAACTAGAACTGAACTAGAACTGAACTAGAACTGAACTAGAACTGAACTAGAACTGAACTAGAACTGAACTAGAACTGAACTAGAACTGAACTAGAACTGAACTAGAACTGAACTAGAACTGAACTAGAACTGAACTAGAACTGAACTAGAACTGAACTAGAACTGAACTAGAACTGAACTAGAACTGAACTAGAACTGAACTAGAACTGAACTAGAACTGAACTAGAACTGAACTAGAACTGAACTAGAACTGAACTAGAACTGAACTAGAACTGAACTAGAACTGAACTAAACTGAACTAGAACTGAACTAGAACTGAACTAGAACTGAACTAGAACTGAACTAGAACTGAACTAGAACTGAACTAGAACTGAACTAAACTGAACTAGAACTGAACTAGAACTGAACTAGAACTGAACTAGAACTGAACTAGAACTGAACTAGAACTGAACTAGAACTGAACTAGAACTGAACTAGAACTGAACTAGAACTGAACTAGAACTGAACTAGAACTGAACTGAACTGAACTAAACTAGAACTAAACTAGAACTGAACTAGAACTGAACTAGAACTGAACTAAACTAGAACTGAACTAGAACTGAACTAGAACTGAACTAGAACTGAACTAGAACTGAACTAGAACTGAACTAGAACGAACTAGAACTGAACTAGAACTGAACTAGAACTGAACTAGAACTGAACTAGAACTGAACTAGAACTGAACTAGAACTGAACTAGAACTGAACTAGAACTGAACTAGAACTGAACTAGAACTGAACTAGAAACTGAACTGAACTGAACTGAACTGAACTAGAACTGAACTAAACTAGAACTGACTAACTAGAACTGAACTAGAACTGAACTAGAGCTGAACTAGAACTGAACTAGAACTGATTTTTTGATGTTTTTGGAAACTTCCATGTTATTTGTACGGGTGCTGCTTATTTTTTATTGCACACTGTATCAGTCAATTTTTACAATTTCAAAATTAATGATGTGATTTGTCTCTTAACAAAATTGATGAGTTTACAGCATGATGTCATATAAATGACAAATTATTTTATTTAAAAACTTTAGTATTTTTGTACAAATCTTTGGTAATGTTTGATTAAAGAAAATTTTATTAAATTAAATCAACCAAAAAAAAAACTTACTTTAATTTAGAGTAACAAAGAATTCCTGTAAAGAAAATAATAAAAATCATTAAATTAATTTCTCACTTTTGCTCATTAATATGTTAAACACAAAATTAAATAAATAGAGAGAGAGGAAGAAGAAAAAAACTTCAGCCAAGTTCTTGACCTAGAAAAAATGATGACGACACAATGTCAACCACGTTTATTATTTTTTCTTCTCCCACTACCCAGCATCCAGATATTTTAGAAAAATAGTACAACATCAAGGAAAAAGAAAATTAAAATTAAAACAAGGACACAGAATTGAAGGAAGAAAATTATAAAAACAAACTCCAGCAAGTCATCAGCCATTCATTCATTATACTTTACAGACACCCAAGGAAAAGCTCTAAACAAACACACCCCCAAACAGACAGACAGACGTTAAATATTTCCTTATTTTCTTGAAGAACTTACATTCCTCCTACCGCAGTTGCTGCTGTAGCTCATCAGCACGAAATGGGGAAAAGTAAGAAAAATTATAAAAACTGGGTTAATAACTGAACTAAATAAACAAAAATTGAGCAAAAAATGAAAAAAAGTAATAATGTAGACAGACGACAACAATAAATTGGGGCACAAGAAGGCGACAAAGTGCATAATCAGCACAAATGAAAAGCAGCAACACTACAGCAGAAGAAAAAAAACCTTTAGATCCTTTAGATTTTAAGCGACAGGAAAGGCAAGAGAGTGTAGTGGCTGTTTCAAGGCAGCCACAGGAAAACACAGCAAATAAATTTCATTTTGCCATTCTCTTTAGCTACGTCGTTGTCGGCATCTTACTAAATGCAAGACGTATTTTTTTTTTGTAGTTGTTTCTTTTTTAATTTCGATTTTTTTTTCTTTCTCCAGCCAAGGACAAAGTTTTTCATTTCGCCTGCTTGCTGCTGCGTTATTTGTAAATGAGTTGTGGGTCTGTGTGTGTGTTCGTAGGAGTCTTTCCCATGAGTTTGTCTGATGCTGTTTTAAAAAAAAGAGTGTTTGCTTTTAATTTCATTTATTATTATACTCATTTTGTTATTGTTTCTTTTTTTTTCTTATTTTAACTTCTTGTTTCCATTTTCATTTTAGTCATGAACCGGCATTATGTATTTTTGTATTTCTTCTCAGACTATAGACTGTAAACTAGAGCAAAATACTATATAATACTTACAAGGACTTTTTTTATTTAATGAAGAAATGTTGTCAGTGGAATAAATTAAAAAGGCGGGAAACATTTTTATGGATTTTTATGTTAAAGAAATTACCAAAGGCCAAATATAGTTAAACAAGTAAAATTTTTCTCTCTGTTAACTTGTTGGTCTATGTGGCTCAATCTCTTTATATAATTTAGATCTATTGAAAAAAATTAATATAAATTATGTTATTAAACAATATATATGTATTAGTATGTATGTTTGCATTTGTAATTAGTCCATTAAAGAACAATTTCTATTAAAGGTTTTAAAAGTGTTATTAGTCTCTGGACTACTGGTTGGTTAGTAGCTATTACCTTATATTATGAATAAATTTTTATGCAAAACTATAATAAAGTCTTTCTATTTTTTGTAATATTCATGCTAAATTGTACAATTTGTTTAATTGTAATCGATTGTAATTTTTTTAATTTAATTTATTTATTAGTTTTATTTAATATCTTTAATAAATATAAATGTGTTGAATGTTTAAAAGACATAAATATTTGTAATAATGAATAATAATTAGAAACATGGGAAGTAGGACCATAAAAAGTTTTGAAAATATGTTAAATTAACACTAAACATAAGAACTGTTTACTGCAATAACCTGTTAAGTCACATATTTTCTAAAACTCTAGCAATATATTTCCATAAACTGTTTACTAATACACCATTTAAAAAAATAGTTTTTTCCTTAAGTTTTTGGTAATTAAGCATTAAACAAATATTTTGTGACTTATGCTGTTATTGCCATAAAAAGCTTTCTATATTTAGAGAGCATAAAATAGGAAATTTCTTTCAAAATCTTTTAAATTTCTTTCAATTCTGTTTAGAAATATTTGATCTCAAAATTATACAAATCTGTTGCAATTCTGCTTATTTGTCTTGGGTTTACTTCCCAAAGTTTAATTTGAAACAATATTTTTTATATTTCAGCTCTGTCAAGTTTTAAAAGCTTTTGACAATTTGTTTGTGACATTTGCAATATTTCTTTACTAAGCAAGAAAAAGTAATAAATACTATTTGGTTTGAGATAAATTTTGTATTGAAAATAAACTCTTTAACTTGAGAAAATTTTGTATAAAACATAAGACATGATCATTTTTTTAATCTTGTCTTTTCGAAAAATTCTCGATAATATAGCTTTTTATAGAAAATTTTCCAAAAATCCTCTTTTAATAGAAAAAAGGTAATTTACCAAAAATTACCTCTTTATTGGAAATTTCCTAAAATTTTGTTTCTATAGGAAATTTTTAAAAAAATTCCTATAAAAAGGAAATTTTTAGAGGTAACTTTTCAAAAATTTCATTTTTATAGAAAATTTTTCAAAAATTTCCTTTTTGTAGGAAATTTTTCAAAAATTTCCTTTTTGTAGGAAATTTTTCAAAAATTTCCTTTTGTAGGAAAATTTTCAAAAATTTCCTTTTTGTTGGAAAATTTTCAAAAATTTTCTTTTTGTAGGAAAATTTTCAAAAATTTCCTTTTTGTAGGAAAATTTTCAAAAATTTCCTTTTTAAAATTCCCTTTTTTAAGAAATTTCACTTCTTTTTCTCTTTTTATACAAAATTTTCCATAAATTCCCTTTTTTATAGGATATTTTCCAAAAATTCCTTTTTTATGGGACATATCCCAAAAATTCCCTTTTTAAAGGACATTTTCGAATATTTCGCCTACCTACCTATAGAAAATCTTCGAAGATTTCTCTTTTTTATAGAAAATTTTCGAAGATTTCTCTTTTTTTATAGAAAATCTTCGAAGATTTCTCTTTTTTTATTGAAAATCTTCGAAGATTTCTCTTTTTTTATTGAAAATCTTCGCAGATTTCTCTTTTTTTTATTGAAAATCTTCGCAGATTTCTCTTTTTTATTGAAAATCTTCGCAGATTTCTCTTTTTTATAGAAAATCTTCGCAGATTTCTCTTTTTTATAGAAAATCTTCGCAGATTTCTCTTTTTTTATAGAAAATCTTCGCAGATTTCTTTTTTTTATAGAAAATCTTCCAAGATTTCTCTTTTTTTATAGAAAATCTTCGAGGATTTCTCTTTTTATAGAAAATCTTCGAAGATTTCTCTTTTTTTTTATTAAAAAGATTTCTCTTTTTTTATAGAAAATCTTCGAAGATTTCTTTTTTTTAAAGGAAATTTTCGAAGATTTCTCTTTTTTATAGAAAATCTTCGCAGATTTCTCTTTTTTTATAGAAAATCTTCGAAGATTTCTCTTTTTGTTATAGAAAATCTTCGAAGGTTTCTCTTTTTTTCAGGAAAATCGTCGAAGATTTCTCTTTTTATAGAAAATTTTCGAAGATTTCTCTTTTATTATAGAAAATCTTTGCAGATTTCTCTTTTTTTCGAATATTTCGCCTACCTACCTACAGAAAATCTTCGAAGATTTCTCTTTTTTATAGAAAATTTTCGAAGATTTCTCTTTTTTTATAGAAAATCTTCGAAGATTTCTCTTTTTTATTGAAAATCTTCGAAGATTTCTCTTTTTTTATTGAAAATCTTCGAAGATTTCTCTTTTTTATAGAAAATCTTCGCAGATTTCTCTTTTTTTATAGAAAATCTTTGCAGATTTCTCTTTTTTATAGAAAATCTTGGAAAATTTCTCTTTTTTATAGAAAATTTTCGAAGATTTCTCTATTTTTCAGGAAAATCGTCGAAGATTTCTTTTTTTTTATAGAAAATATTCGCATATTTCTCTTTTTTATAGAAAATCTTCGTAGAATTCTCTTTTTTATAGAAAATCTTCGACGATTTATATTTTTTATAGAAAATCTTCAAAATTGTATCTTTTTATAAAAAAATCTTCGAAGGTTTATCTTTTTTAAAGAAAATATAGAAAATCTTTAAAGATTTCTCTTTTTATAGAACATTTTCGAAAATGTTTCTCTTTTTTTATAGAAAATTTTCGAAGAAAATTTCGATGATTTAGCTTTTTTATAGAAATTTTTCGAAGATTTTTCTTTTTTATTGAAATTCTTTGAAGATTTCGCTTTTCTATAGAAAATTTACGAAGTCTTCTCTTTTTGATATAAAATCTTTTCTTTTTATAGCAAATTTTCAAAGATTTTTTTTCAAACTTAATTTTTCGAAATTTCAAAAAATTTTTCTTTTTATGGAACATTTTCAAAAAATTTCCTTTTTTATAAAAAATTTTCGAAAATGTTCATTTTATCTCAATGATAACTCTTTTTGCAGAAAACGTTCGAAAATATTTTTAGAAAAAGAGTATTTCGAATTCGCTTTGAACCTATACATCTTGCTACAACCTTACCTTTTAACTATTCATTACTTTTCCATTAAAATATTTATAGCCTTGTCAGTTTTATTTGAAAACAATAATTTTGTGAGTGCAAAATCCACTAAATCTATATAAATATATAAATAATAAATAGTAAAAAAACAGCTAAACCACTAGAATATTACAATATTTTTACAGTCATATATGAATTAAGGTTGACAGTTAATGGTCGCTTGGGGAAAAAACCTTAATGAATGAGAAAAGTCATTTAAATGTAATAAAAAATTTTATTTTTTTTTTCAATTATATTTTAAATAAATTAAATATGAATAAAAAATAGATTAACAGTTCGTTAAAAGAAATAAAAAATAAAAAGACTTGATTAAAGTAAAAATGTGTAGTGTTATGAAAGTTTGAGGAATATTCGCGAAAAATATTATAAAATGAAATTGTTACCTTAATTTATATAAAATAGTTTTAAAAAATATTGTAGTTTTATAATTTTGAATTTTATCTTTTTATATTTCATTTTGCCGAGAATATTCTGTGAATTTAGTTTTTTTTGTACTTAAAAAATTCTTGTAATA